CCGTCCCCCAGCCGGTTTGGGTGTCGGGTGAATCGCAGCCTCGGGGCCCAGCTTCGTGATGTGCCTGAGCCTGGCGGCTCCCTGCCCTGGGTGATCTCTTCTCCCCGGGTACCTCTGTACCTCCCCGTGCCCCATCTCACCCCACAACCTGCCGGCTCAGGGACCTCAGCAGGCACAAGCATCCCTCCTTTTTCCAGGGTGGTGATGCTCTGGCTTGTCTAGCAGCTGACCTGCGTCTCTGCTCCCGGAGGGGCTCTCGCTCCCCTCTCCATCCTTCCTCCACTCCCGGCTGCAGGGTCTGCCCTGGCCAGCAGGAAAGGAACATCCCACCGCGGCAGCTTTTTGTCATGCTCGTTGGTTCGGTCACCTTGCAGAGGAGGCCAAGCAGCCACCAAACATGGGAAAGTGGGGCTGGGAATGAATTGTTGTCTCTTCTTGCTCTGTTTGTTTGTAGCTCTTTCGCTGGCCTCACTATGGGAAGCTCGTCATGGGAGAAATGCTGTCCGTTAAGGTTTACAACTGCAGCAAGGTTTTCAGTAACAGGTAGATCCTTTGGTTGTTGGGGAGACCAGCAGAGGTGGGGGAAGAGACGTACTGGGCTTTACATTGTCTGCTGGGAGTAGAAAACGTTTATTGGAAGTTTGATGGAAGGAAGATGAGCAGGATACAAGTTATAGAAGAGGGATGGAGCTGGTTGTTCTGGTGGGGCAGCAGCACTGTATGTATTAAGTTAAATAAAGAGAATGATTTAGTTGTGCCAGTAGTAACAGAGACTACCTAAGGATCCAGATCAGACCCTCAGGTGGGACAAAGGTAAAATAGGGCCCTAAAAAATAGAGCTACAAGGGCAGGACTTGCAGCAAAGTGGGGTCCCGCTCTCACCCTGTAGATCCATGTGGTGACCGTGGTCATGCTGCACCCAAATTCAACATGCCTGTCGGTGGGGAAAAGCCCCAAGCCCGCGGTAGTATGGTTTTAACCTTTAAAAGAGCCAGTGATTTAAATTTCAATGATCAACCAGAACTTAAAATGCTTCTAGGTGGCACAGACACACTGTGAACTCCGCAGCTATTCCAGCAGTTGTAAAACACTTCAGGGAAACCCAAGAGTAGAGGGCACAGATTGAGTAGTGATGGTGGAGCAAGCAAGGGAGCAGAGGCCCGTCCTTCCAGCCCGTGTGAAACATGAGGATGCAGGGAAAGGTGCCAGCTCTGATAAGCGAAATGTAAGAACTGAAGGAAAAATCAACAGGAACAATTTTCTACAGGCAGCTAATAATACAAACCTTTTCAAAGCCATCACAAGCCTGCCAGAGAGGGTGTGGAGGAAACACATGAGTTACAGGACACGCGAGACACTTAAAGATAAAACCAGAGCGGAAAATGCGGCTGAACTTTGTGTCACTGTTTACTGGATGCTTTCCTCATGGGAGCTGAATCAGAGGAATTGTCTCTGACTGAAATGTCAATAGAAATTGCTATAGGACAAAGAGATAAAACAGACAGTAACAAATCACCAGGACCTGATGGCGCTGAGCAGAGAAGTGCAATGGGAAATGACTGGACTGGCACCGACAGCATCTGCCCACACACCTCCGCTGCTGGGCAGCAGGGTAAGGGCAGGTGACAGACATTGCAGTTGGCCAGCGCACTGAGATAATAAAAAAAAATAAATAGAAAGAGAGTGTGGAAGGACAGAAGGGAAAAATTTGTTACACCGCTGTATCGATCTGTGATTTCTGGACTTCTGCGTGTGCAGCCTTTCTGTGGCAGCAGCACCAGGCTGGAAAAACTGGAGAGGAGGGGGATGAGGGGAGGGACTCCTTCCTTGGGGGTAGGAGAGTAGACACTCTGCATCTTGGAGAAGAGGGAGGTAAGAAGGAAGATGAGAGATCAGCAGCTCACAGCTGAAATAGAGGTGACTGGGGAACGATTCCTCCTGTCTCGGTCCCGGGCAGGCAGGGAAATGCTCTGGTGGAGGTTTCCAGCAGGCAGTAGGAAGCTCTGCTTCGTGCGGGGCTTAGCTCTGCCGCCGGCGGAGCTGCCACAGGGAGATGGAGGCCAACATACAGACGGGCTCCAGACAGCAGTAACGCAAGGTGAGGTTGGGAGCGGCTGGCAGGGGTCTTTGCCTGCCACTTGCAGGGAGCCAGATGACCCTTCCCGAGGGAGAACTCCCTTTGCAGTAGGTAAATTTTGGCCTGACTTGCTGCAGATATCCCTGTGGCCATGGCTTTATGTCCTATTTCTGTATTTCCTTGCGTGAAGCCTCTGCTTCCCAGTTTTGCCTGGGAAGAGTCAGCCCCGCTCTGCTGGGTGCCCCAACACAGGCTGGCTCCTGCGGAGCCCAGCTCTGCCGAAGGGGGAGAGCTCCCTCACGCGCGGTGGGACTGGATCTGCCCAAGCCTTTAGCTGTCGATGGCAGCAGGGTTGCGAGCAGCTGCCTGGGCATGACTGGGGTGGAGGCAGGACCTGCTGCAGGGTCAGTGTCGCCTGCCATACCCCCGATGGAAAGTGCTGCAGGAGTTCGCTGCCTTCACCGCAGCTCGGAGGGGCTGTGAGCAGGGGAGTGGAGATCCTGGTACTCTCCTCCCCGAGGATGTAGGCACTGATGCTACATACGGTATTGCTGCAGGCTCTGGTTTTGTTACAGGCTTCTCGGTACCCTTGTCCTCAGCCTTCAGCACCTGATGACGTCCGGGAGGCTGATCCTCCGGGAGGCCCTTGTCGACAGGAACCACAGAGTCACTGGTGTAAGTCTTCCACGGGCAGCCTGGCCACTAGCAATCAGGAAGGCTTTGTGGGAAACCTTGTGTGGTGCTTCCCAGGTGGATTTGGCGCTGAGGGGGAGTCCAAGGTGCTGCTTTGAGCCCGGGAGCGCTGCAGGGTTCGTGCCCTCTCTGCGCAGGGATGCAGCCACTTCACGCCCATCAAGTGGTTCTAGGAGCATCCAGAAGTGTGTGGGGGGGGCTAGGGGCCCTGGAGCCCTGCCGAGGGTCTGAATGAGCAGAGGGAGGCTTAGTAAAACCTCCCCAGGTTTGGGCGATGGATGTAGGAGGTGGTATTTCACCTGCCTCCTGCACCACGCAGCGTATGGGCATGGGCTACTGCAGGACACGAAGCTGAGGGGAGCTGACGGGGTGAAGCTGAAGGTGGCAGCTTTTAGGTTAAACACCAGTGCTAACCAGAGCTTAACGATGTCTGGGGCGGCGTGAGCGGCTCTGACACCTGCCTGCCCCTCTGCTCTGCGCCGTGGGTTCTGCTCTCCTCCTACCCCACTGCCGGGGCTCACGGGGCCTTTTGTGCCGGTGGAAAATGAATGCAACCCAAAAATGAGCCCTTTCCTGCCCACTGGGTGTGCAGGCACTGTTCAATGAATGCCTGACAACCAGGGCACGGTGCCAGGGCCATGGGCAGGACCGGGAATAGGAGAGGCAGAGGCGGGCAGCCCTGCGATGTGCTGCACCCCTGTTTACCCTGCCCATGGGCAACCTGATTCACTCCCGCAGTGGCACATGGGATGCAGCTCTGTGGCCACCAGACCACGAGCCCGAGTGGCACAGGCACGGCTTTCCCGTGTTGCTGAGCTGACTGGATCAGGGAGCAGGTCCAGGATGAAACTGAGCATTTCCAGGATGATTTTTAGCCTGATGCATCTCACTGCATAAACATTCATGCCAGCAAAGGGACAGGGACTGGACCGACCCTTCGTGCTGGCGATGGTTTGAAGGGACTGAGCTAGGGGCACGTCAACCACTAAGGTCAGAGGTGCTCTGCAACCCAGCCCTTTGCCCCTGGCTGCCTCTTCCCTGGTGCTAACAGCAGCCCTCGTGCTGATGAGCCGCTCCGTCCAGAAACCAACCGCATTCCGTTTTGCCAGGTTAGTTTTTGATTGTGCAGCTCTGGCTGCACGAGGGCTGTGGGGGACAGAAGGAGGGCAGGCAAGACTGGACGCCATCCAAGGACAGCCTGAGACTCTCTCCCTCGGCACAGCTGGGAAGAGACACGTCCCCAGGGGAGGGAGGCTGTTCCAACCACTGCTCCTTTAGCAAAGAGGGAACAAAACCCGTGTTCTTCCAAGTCCTGTTCTTCTCTGGGACTTGAGTTATTTGCAGCCTTTTTTTCTCCGGGTGGTTTGGAGGGTTTTTTTCAGAGCCTCAGGTGTTCACCCAGCTTTATCTCAGGCTTCTGCATCCATCCAGCCTTTGCTGCTGCCTTTCCCGACACACTACTACTGCTTTCTTGGACTGTATTTCTCCTCCCAGAAACATGTGTTTTCCAGGGACTGAGCTATGAACCCAGCCGGTACATCCCCTCCAGCCTGCTGTGAAGTGTCCTCTGTGGCCTCTGCTGGGAAATCCTTGTGCGTTTGTGTTGGTTTGAGATCAGACTGGTCACCTGCAGACCAAGGGTTTTCAGATGCCTGTTGGCTGTGCCGGTACCCAATGCACCCCATACTTCTCTGGCCATTCTTCGCCACCGGTGCAAAGTCGATGTCTCTTGTGATGCAGACTCTGGCTGTGTTTATGGCTTCTACGGTGTTTTAAACCAAGATGCCGTACCTGGGGATGCTCTGCCGGCTGTATCATGCCTCCCACAGAGAGACCGCTCCAAACCCCTGCCTGTTAGTTTGCTCTGCTGCAGGTCTCTCCCCACTTTCCTTGTCAAAAGTGCCCCGAGATGGCTCTCAGGGGCCTCCCCATGGTAAATTTTAGGTTTGGAGTCTTGAGCCAGATTTTATTCAGTGAATCCTAGAGTTTGGGAGGCTGTAGGGGAAGGAGTTTGGTTAACTCAAGCTTGTCGATGGAAGCAGAGAAGGAGAGGCTGGTATAAACAGGCTTCCTGTGGGGTTGTGACCCCCTTCCTTCTTCTTTCCACCAGCATCTCGCTTCTTTTTTCCTTCCACGCTTCCCTTCCCCTCTTCCATGACATTTCTGCAGCTGTTTTTTTTTTGGCTGCCAAGCTCTTGGGCAGTTTCATTTTCTGTTTGTAGATCTACATCGAGTTGGATTTGCGCTACCAGCCTCCAGATGGCTCAGCTGGGACCTGGGTTGAAGAGGACTTCGTCTATCAGATGAAAGACAGGTATTGAAATCCTGGGAAGGGCAAATATCCAGGCAGCTTCTGCAACTGCCTTTGCCAGTGGCAGCCTTTGGGATGTGATCCAGCCTCGTTTACCCTCCACCTCTGGCCAGGCTGATGCATTTGTGCTCTGCAGCAGCAATAAGTGAGCAGGGCTCTTGGAAAGAAAATACCTTGTCTTCACAGAGCCCTTGACTGCGACAACCCACTGCACTCTGGGGGTCCTTTCGGGCTCGAGAGCGTTTCTGCAGCCTTTCTGGCTGATGGGAGCAAGACGCTGTGGTTGCAGAGAGCGTGGCTTTGGACTGTAGCAACCCCAGGCACCCTGCACGCAGGTGGTGCCCAAAGCCGGGGGAGATGCGGGTGTCTGGGGGGAGAGGATGACAGTCAGCAGCAGGGTCTGGGGGGTGTCACTTCTGGAGTGCCAGAGGCAAAGCAGCAGGCACACAGGGTGGACACTGGAAAAGCATCGCTTAGGAGGATGCTCATGTCCCCGCCAAGAGCCAAGCAGGAGCATGGCTGTGGCACTGTTCCTTAAATGCGTCAGTGAACAGCCGCGACACACTTGTTTTTTCTTACAGTTCGGAGTTAATCATCCGCAATCCTGGATTTGAGGAGCTGGAGTAAGTAGCCCTACTTGAATGTATCAGCTCACCCTCCTGGGTGGAGAGGAGCGCACAACCCGCTCGTCAGGGCTGACGACGCAGCACGTGACACGGCGGGGGGGTTGCAGGGCAGCCGAGGGGCCGAGAGCGCGTGAGCTGGACAGGAGGGCTGCCGCGCTGGGCAGGAAGCTGGCAAAAGGCCTGGAGACTGATGAGGAAGAGGAGGAGGAGGAAGAAGATTTCTATGATGTGTCTGAGATGCAGGTCTCAGGCATTGTCTTTAGCCCTGTGAAGAGGTATCCGTGACATGCGCTTCTCTCTTGTCCCTGCTTGGGCCCTGGGGTGGAAAGTGCCAGCTCGTGGGGGAATCCTGCATCTCTTGGCATTCTGCTTCTGCAAAATGTCGGAAACCTTCAATCTCCAATGGTCCCAAAGAGGGACGGTTGGGGATTTGCTCATTCCCAGGGCACGGGGCTATTATTTGCCAGGGCTTTGTTGCTTCCCTTGATGGGGACTTGCTGAGGTCCACGTAGATGAAGGGACCTGCTCACTCGAGTTGTTTTCTGTGCAGCCGCTCCAGACTTTGCTCCGCACGGGACCTCTTTGCCACCCCAACCCCACAGAGCTTCCAGGTACGGCAGCGTTGGGCGCGCGTCCCTGCAGCTCCTCTGGCCCCGCGGCCGGTCCCGTGCTGCCTTGCCGCGGGCCTGGGCTTCTCCACCTGCCGCACACCCCGGCGAGGCCTCTGCTATGAAGACACCTCCTTGCTTTGTGTGGCTTCCCTGGGCAAGGTGTGAGATTCCCTAAACGGACTGCATCCACGAGTGCTGGCTCCAACGTCAGCAAGCCCAGAGCAGAATTTCTTCTTGGGCCGTGTAGTTAGCTATGGATGTACAAGAGAAGGGTATCACCCTGACAACCACAGGCACCCCTGCAAAACACTGCCTGAGCAGAGCTTCGGAGGGCAGCCAGGCAGGGCTGGTGCCTGCCAGCTTCCCCACGGCCTTGCCTGGGTGCCCAGGCACATCTGTGGGACATGGCCGCGGGTGGAGGGCTGCTGCACGGGCTTTCTTGGCGATGCCGGGAGGCTGGTATGAAGCTGTGGTTCTGGCCAACGCCCTGACATCAGGTTTATTTGAAAGCACTGTGAAATCTGGAAATGGAGTTTGGTCCAATCTTCACCCTGCAGACTTCAAGGCATGTCTGCCAGCCTGGCTATGGATTTAAATCCTTCCCTGGTTCTAAGTAAATGTGGACTCACGTTTGGGTCTCCTGCTTTTCAGGGCCGAGTCCTATTGACCAAGCAGGAAGCTTTTGTGGGGGTGGAATTTCCTACCATCCTTTTCTTGAAGCTATTATTCTTCATCGTAACAACTGCCTAGTTGCTTGCATCGAGAGCAAATGTGAGAACGTTTTTCCCATACCTTAGGCTCATAGCCGGTTGCAGCAGATGAGACAGCCACATTCCAGTCTTTCCAATGGAGTCCATCTCAGTAGGATTCAAAGACAAGTATTGACAGAAGATACAAAGAGCACCTTCTCCAAGATGCTCTGTGGACCCCACCATGTGGGAGCAGTGGGTTTGCATCCCCTTGGGATCAGGAATGGAGTGGTGACAACGCTGCTGGGGGGGACAGTGCCACTGGGGAGGCTGCTCTCATCAAAGGTGCTGGGGATTTAACGCTTCATTTCCTTGCTTGTCCGAAAGAAACAAATATCTCAAATACCGTTTTGGTTTGTTCTGCCCGTAGCAGATTTCAGCAGCTGTGCTCTTGCCTACCCCAAGCATCTACCCCTGCAGTGAGAGGGCCCTGCACATTTGCATACTGGTATTGCTGAAACAAACTCAAGGTGGAGCTGGAAACAAGGAGAGTGCTGATCCAAAGGTTTTCTCCTGCATTTTCTCAGGTTGGGATTAATATAATTGAAGCGCAGAAGCTGGTGGGGGTGAACATTAACCCCTTTGTGGTAGTCAAGGTTGGAGAGGAGAAGAGGCACACGGCCACGCAGAAGTCAACAAACTGCCCCTTCTACAATGAAGTATGTGGTGTGGGCAGGGGCTCTGTCCTTCCCCACCAGTGTCCTGAGTGACTGGGGCCACCCTTGCTGGGGATGCAACTGCTCTCAGGCAGAGGTGTTTGTGGGGCTGTGTTGGGAGCCTGGGGCTGAGCTGTCTCGCTCTTCTCTTTCAGTATTTTTTGTTCGAATTCCATGAGCCAAAGGACATTTTATTCCACAGACTCATAGAGATCTCAGTAAGTACGTCCTCTTCTTTATCCATCGTCAGTAACTGGTACAGCCCAACGCTTCTGCATGTCGATGCTGGGAGTGGTGGGCACAGCAAGGGTACCAGTACCAGCACCAGCCAGGTTTTCCAGCCGGAGGCATCTGTCCCAGGAGAGACCAAAGGGCCTTCCTGTGGCCGCAGGGGCGCAGGGACTCGGCCTGCTCTGAGCCAGTGCTGGGCGGTGCTGCCTTCCCACCTCCTCCATACCAGGTTTTCTCTGCATCCAGTGACTGAAGAGGGGCCTCTGGGGCAGTTTCTTGCCCATTGCCTTGCTGCCCCACTCTTTTGGTGGCAATTCCCTCCTGCCCCTTACCCTGGAGCCTTATCCTGCAGGTTGTGGAGGTGAATGAGTGGTTTGAGGGGAGCTCAGCAGTGATTTGTGCTCGTAGAAAAGCCCAGGCAGGCAGAGAGCAGTCTTCAGAAATCCCCTGGCCCAAAGCTCAGGGGCTTCCCCAAGTCAGGGGGCTTTTCTGCAGATAGCTAAACCCAGCCAGCTCCTCCTTTGCCGCACAATCTCCAGCACTTTCCCTGTGAGTGGCTGCACGTCTCTGCCGTGGGGCTGGGTACAGCAAGCACTGAGCAAGGCTCGGGTTTTGGGGGAGACACTATAGCCTGGTGGGGACATGGCTCTGCCCTGGCCCAGCAGGATATGGACATAGGACTCCCTGTGGGAAAGCAGGTCTGCTCTTGGTCAGTCGTGGGACTTTGGCTTATCTGGGGCTGGCAGAAGAAGCTGAATTGGTTGCATGTGAATTTGCCTTGGCCCAGGTTTGACTGAGGGCTGTGGGCTTTGTGGGAATGGTTGGGCAGGAATAGTCCCAGGGCTAACTCAGGTGGGTCAACGTGCATGAGCTCGCAACCGCTGCCTGAGCGGTGCGTTGGAACGGGCATCTCTTAGCAGTCCTGTCCTCCTCAGAGATGTCTGGATGTGTCACCTGGCTGCCCACATCTCTTGGTGCTTAGGGGGATTTGTGCTGTCTGCAGGTTTTTCACTCAAAGAAGATACCATTCCTGGGGACATGCATAGGAACGTTCAAGATAGATGTTGTGACGGTGTACAGCCAGCCAGGTACGACCAACTGCACTGCATAGCTGCTCCCTGACCTTGGCTTTCTCCGAAACTGATGTTTCCTTTGTGCTCTGCTGGGTCGGGTGAGGGTTCTGTCTTTAAAGCACTTCGTTCGCATGAGGACCAGCGCTTGCCTCTCCTCCCAGCTGTCTGAAGGCTGGTGACACCTCCTGCCCCTTCAGAGGCAGGGTCAGGGCAATCTTTGTGCAGACGTAGTTGGGATGTGAGATGATAACCTGGGCTCTCCACAGGGAACTCCTTCCCTTCCCTCTCAGATCACAGGTTTTTCCAGAAGTGGGCTGTTATCAGTGACCCCACGGATACTCGGGCAGGCGTGAAAGGCTTTGTGAAGTGCAACATCTCCGTCACCGCACGTGGGGATGTTGTGGGCTCCCTTCCCACCTCCTCCAGCAGTCGGGATGAGGACATTGAAAGGTAGGTGCAGTGTGGTCTTGCATGGCCATGGGGAAAACAGTCATGTCCCTCTTCATGCTACCTTTTTTGACTTGTTTTTCCCTCTTCTGATGAGGAAA